AGAGGGGCTCCACACACAGGCTCCTGGCTGCTACCCCGGCAAGCGCTTTCAGCTGCTGGCCCAGCCCGTGCTGCTGTCGCCCGCAGACCTCGGTGTGGTGTGGCCTTCCTCACGACGGGGACAGGCGGTCCCATTGACTCGAGGGGCTAACCTTAAACAGCAAGGAAAACGGGAAGTCACCCGCGGACTGTGTCATGGCCTGTGCGCTGCGCTCATTATCCAAACAGGCTGCCCACACGCATGTCCAGCAAAAGGAAAACATAAACTCCTGCTGCCTGGACTGGAGCTTCCCGGGACGGACGAAGCCACGAGAGGAAGTGCAGCCCCGTGGGCAGGGGAGCTGGGTCCCGCGGGTCAGAGACCCGCACCAGCGGGCGGCCCTGCGAAGCTGGCTTGTAAGAGAGTTTCCCATGGTTCTCCACATGCCCAGGTTCAAGGTGCCCACCTAGGGCAGGACTGAAAGCCAGAATACGTCATGTTTGCAAATGCTACATCTCGGCTGGCACTCGGAGCCCAGTCTCCGGAAAGCCTAGCCAGACTCGGGGGAGTCCTGGGCCCCTCCTGGCACACCACCCACCACCACACGGCTCTTCATTTCAACACGGGACCCAAGAAAACCTCCAAGACCTCGAGATTCCTGGGGACGCATATGAGCGACAGAACGTGGGGAAGCCGAGATAAAGCTCTTGAGAAACCGGAGGGCTCTCTTAAATGTGGCCACAGGGGCTCCGGCCCTGAAAAGCAGGCCCTTGAGCCACAGCTGTAACCACACAGCATCTCACCCTTGCTGGCCGCCCGGGGACTCCGCCGGTGTCCTCTGGCCGCCGCTGCAGGCGGAAGCCTCGGGGGGCTCCTGGGGCAGAGTTGCCCTTCTGGGCCTTTTCGCTGAAGTCAGCGTCTCCCCTGCGGTCTAGGGAGAGCGGACAGTCAGCGGAACGGAAGGTGCAGGCAGCCCGCACCTCCCCTCCTAGAGCAGTGCTGAGAGTGAAGTCAAACCCAGCCGTCCCCACCCCTGCCAGGCAGGGCCCACCCC